GCTTCTCCCTCTGCCTCTCTCTCTCTGTCTCTCATGAATAAATAAATAATAGTAGTATCATTTAGAAACTTCATCTCAAAAAAGTTCCAAATTATTGAAGAGGCAAGAGCTTCTTACACTGAATTATATATTAGGGTAATATTACCTGAGGCACAGTCCGTATTCTTGTATGGTTTTACCTTGTAACTTTGTGTTTGCATTAGTAAAGACGCTGACAACTCTGAAAAATAAGTAATTTGAGTTTTAATAAGTAAAGTGTGTTAACTGGTAATACTATCTCTGGATTTTTAAATTGCCTTTTTCAAAATTTCCTCAGGAAGATAACAAGCTCCCTCTAGTGGGAAGTGAGCATTATAATTCGGTTATTTCCCCAAAGCACTGTAACTTCAGTTACATTTTGTTTAAACGAAAGGGGCTCCATTTATTTTTCTCTTTGAATTTTAGCCAAGAGAATAATATTGGTTATCATGGAATGTGTATAGAACAGTCACGAGTTTGGGGCATGTTGATGAACTGCTCTTAACATAAGCAAAGAAAGTGAGGTTACCTCAACTTAATGCCTTAATGCCTAAGCATTAACTCCAGCTAACCTGTTAGAATATATACATATATACATAGAATTTACTTACCAATTACATATATATCACTTAACTCCTAAGCCTTTACTTTGATTTAATTAAATAGTTAGAAGATTCTCTCTTACCTCTTGGCCTCATTTTACAGCTGAGCTTATGGCTTCCTCAAGATTTCACAGTCGGCTTCGACCTTTAAGTTTCTATTAATTTTACAGAAAGCAAGCCTTGCTCATTTTGGCTTTTCTTAATTTATGAGAAAAATATAACCGAAATCCCGTGGTTTTTTGGAGTAATTAGCTTTCCGCCCCATATCATTCAGACTTGAAGCTAAAACTGCATCTTTATAGAGTTTAATAACTTATGTAAAATGTTAATTCTCAATCATCAAGAAAAATTATAATTGCACCCAGGCAATGAAGTAAGTAGCACATTACAAAATGGGTTTTGATTTTACAATCGGTAATGAAAAAAAATTTAAAAATTTAATGGAATTTTGTCCGAGAGTGGCATATATCCCAGAATGGTTAACAGCCAGTAACCAACTCCTGGAAAGTTATGGAAACTTTCAATTTCAAAATCCCACATGCTGTGTTTCGCCTGTCCTACATTGTATATGGCTTATATCAAAGCATAGGCTTCACTGCTTTTTGGTAACTGCTGACAAAGTTCCACCACACTGGAGAAAGGTTGGCTCTCACTAAACATTGTTTTATTGTTTTCTTATAGCAAACAACATGCTTGGTTTTGGGACACTGGTCAGTACTTCCAATACCTATGATGGATCTGGTGTCGTGACCGTGGAAACGGACCATCCACTCCTCTGGACCATGGCCATCAAAAACTGACCCAGCACCTGGCATCCACAGCCAGGCCTCTGATTTACCTCATCTGCCGCCGACTTATTGCTCAACAAGAACTTTGATTTACAGAAATTTACACCTCTCCATGGGAAGCCCAGTAGTTTTAAAGATGTTAATGTTTAGATAATCCAGGTAACACAAATGACAGATCCCAATTTTACAGTGAGGGAAAAAAATGATTATTTGTGAAGAAAGTAAATAAGCTCTATTACATTCACTTGGAAAACTTGTGGATTATTCCCCTATAAAATTCAGTACCGATTATTATCATTCCATTTATCCTAGAGAATTGTTTTTGATTTTGAAGCTGAGAAAGTTCTCGGTTGAGGGTCCTTGGTGTTTAACACATCAGCCGCCTCCTGCCCATCCTTAAATCCTTACACCGAAGGCTACGTCTGAGTGTTAATGCTAGAGTCCTCTGTATAATACGGGAAAAAATTTCCTTTCAGAGTGGGATGTCAGAATGGCACCGTTTTGCCCTGGCCTTACCTGTCTTTGGTATTATCCTTTAAAAATAAATCAAGAATCATTGACCTAATTATTAAATTTGAAAACAGGCAGCCATAGGTGAAGAGAGAAACGGCATGAAAGGTGAATGACAGTTCATAAAGCCCTACTGATGCTTTCACCCCAAGCTCGGCTCTGAGCTGAGTGCACTAGGCTCCAGTGGAGTGACAGATGAGAACTGCCCTCATTGGAATTACAACCAAGGCTGAAGATGTTGTGCAGAGGAAACTCATGCACGAAAACTGAATTGCTTCTGACATTACTCAGTCTGAAAAAGCATTGGTTCACAGGCCCCAAAGTTAATGCAGAGGACCAGGAAATGAGTTTGACACCTAGTAGTAAGAATCTGGGTCTGAAAGCCTGAGCTCCTGTCCTGGTCCAGCCATTCACCCAAGTTCCCGGAACCTTGTCCTGAGCCAGAACCTGGGAGGGGCTGGCGGGGTGATGCTGCAGCTTCCTCCCGCTCCCCCCCTGCCCAGGTTCTAGACCCTGACACCTGGCAGTTACCCAGCAGAGAATGCACAGCATTACCGGCTCAGCGGTTCAAACCACATGGGGCACTGAAATGCACTCTTGTTTCTTTTATAATGAGACCCTCATCTCTCTTCTTACCCTTTTCTATCCTATTTACCAAATGAAATGGTGTCATACAAACCATGACGTGAGGAGAACCCACCCACTCGGTTTTATGAACGCACATCCCCATTTTGCTCTCAAGGACCAGCAGCTCTTTCCTTCCTGGTGTTACAATAAAGCAAGAGTTGGATTTTAAGTGGAGCGTGAAAGGGGAATCAGTTGCGCTGCATGCAGTTGTGAAGGTTCACCATGAGAGGTCAGTTGTGATTATTACGCAAATATAGGAGGTTGGAATCCGATGTCAAATAAAAATACTTAGTTACCAGTGTGCATGTTTGTGGTCCGTTTTTAAGAAAACAGCCCGTTTTCTCAACTGTATTTCATTGTCACCGATCTCTCATAATCCATGTTTCTGTACAAAAAGAAAAAAATTGCCCAAAGGATGTTTAATAACAACAGCACTTCACTCCTCCGATTTCAGCAAGCAGCCAGTATTAATACTTGCTCTAAGCTGCACGGAAGGTCTGCACGAGATCACATGTGCCAGTGCTTACGCTCTTTCTCTGGACTCGCTGCCCATCTAGAAAAGAGGGATTATATGGAGCACCTGCTTATCTTGCAGGCCTTAGGAAAGACAGGATTGCTTTCGAAGATCTTTATAAGCTGGAGAAAAAAGAATAGAAGGGACTGCCATACTAGCGAAAGTGGAGAAAGTCAGTGGAGGAAGAACCTTGGGGAATTAAGAAAAAGCAGAAGGGTCGGAGCACAGGTGAGCGGCCCAGACCCTGCACTCCGTGCTGTGCTGTGTGGAAGGCCCCCCTCTAGACCCTGCGGCACGTTCTCCACCAAACGCACATCCCAGAGCTTCTGTCCCTGTACTGCTGACCTTCCCATTCACAGCAGACACAAGGGCAAAGAAGCCAGGGGAAAGGTCAGTCGAGGTCCTTTAACTCAGAACCCCCAGTGGAAAAACTTAGTACCTAAGACCTCCGAACCACTGCCCCGAACAACATCTGCACAAACTAGAAGGGAGCAGAGTGGTGGCGGGTAAAGTGCGTAGCGTTCTTGACACTTGTACTTTTTATTTCACTTAGAAGTTGAGGTTCAGCCGTTACATACTCATTACCAGAAACATATGCTCAACACATAAAAGAAATGACTATTGTTTTAAAATTTTACTACCAAAAAATGCATGTCCTATTTATCCTGAAAATCTTAACCAGTGTTACTAAGGGATGCTTAGCCAAGAGAATATAGTTTCTGAAATGTAGTAAGCAGAAGGGGGAAAGCACGGAGACAGCCCACACTCACCGTCTGCGTATCACGCTGGAGCCACCGGAGGCCCGTGGAGGGTGCTCCCTTCCAGGTAGGGCACCGCTCCCACTTCCTGCCAGGCTATGACCCCGTTCCATGCCTTAAAGCTGCCTAAGTGCTATTCCTCTATGTGCTTCTTCGCCACATCATCTAAACACGTATCTGTTATGTTTTTACTACAGCAGGAGTATGCGGACGGTGAGATCTCAGGTGCCCAGGCAGCCCCCTCTTCCCACCCTCCTGTTCAGTTTGGATCCTGACCTCCAGCTCGTAGCCGCAAGGGACACTGGAAGCTGGGCCCTGCTGGCCAAGTGACTTGTGCTTCTCGTCCCCTTTGACTTCAGTCTTTTCTTCTTTACGTGGGTCGGACGTGTGGCTTTTATAAATCTCGTGATGGCGACCCCAGAATAGCATCTGGTTACCTAAGTCACTGAGGAGGGAAAGCACACCCTGATGGCTCTTCTCCACAGGCGGCTGGGAGATGACAACGGCCACAGCTCTTGGAACGCTGGTGGGAGTCACGAGACTGAGATGTAGTAAGCCGTTTGCGGTCCAAGGAATTCAGAGTGGGGCCGCTCTCCCAGATGAGGACGGCCAGGGCAATAAATGTCTGTTCCTGAAGTTTTGTTAAGCAGACAGAGCAAGGTTCCCTTGGGACGGGAACTAGGGCCAACCCAGTAGTCAGAGGGGATGCTGAGAGTGAGGGGGAGGTGGCCAGGACAGCGTGCACATTCACAAAGGTAAGTGCTCGGACATTTGTGTTTGCTTCCACAGCTGCGGAATGCATTTTAAACAGACCTTGCTTACTACCCCTGCTCAAATTCATGCCTTCCAGAGTTTTATTTGAACAATCAAAGCTGCTCATGGATTGGACGTGATTGAGACTGATGATATAGGCCAAGTCAGTAAGCAGTAAGAAACTCTTCTATTCCCAAAGGTTCTATGATTATAAAAAGGGTGTGGTCTGAATGGTGACTTTCAAACTGTATCAGCTGATCACAACCCACTAGAAACACATTCCGTCATACGACCTAGACACACACAAACATGCACACAAGAGTGTGTGCACACACAGTATGCTTTAATAATTTTATTCTAAATTGAAATGAAAAACACCCAGAAATCTCTTCTAGATAGAAAAAACACACCAAGGGGTAGAGTGAAATGCATAAAGGAACTTCTAAAAAATGTGTATGTAAATGCAAGAGTTCTGCATTCTTTCCTAAGACAACATGAGTCTAACTTACCACTTTATCTTCCCCATTTCGTAATGACATTCATTCTTATATGTGTGCTAAGAGGAATAACCTGCCAATGACAGCAGGCTGAATGTGATCCTATTTGGGAATAAGAACATCAGTTTAACTTCATTAGGAATGGGGAGGAGAGCTAGATTATTTAAGTTGTGTCCAAAGCATTCCGTTCAGAATAAAATAAATGATCCTTCTAACTGGAGGGAGATGAAAAAAGCCACAAGGTCAAGCCATTCCCAGGGGTCAATATATCGGGAATGGAAAATTCCTGGTACTTATAGTACAAGGCCCTCCTTGCCCACAGCAGATTTCACTTATCCATCACAGTTTTCTCTCTCGATGAGCCCCCGTCTGAGCCTCAGCTCAGAACAGTTCTCCTGGCAGGCATGATCAATTATTCTCCCTTGGCTCGGCACCCCGGAGGCTCAGAGCTAATGTGTGATCTTCCCACTATACACAAAATGTCAAGGCTTACAACCCCAGAAAGAGGTCCTGGCAACATCATTTTCTTCACAGGTTATGAAGGACTTGTTCACTGTACTTAATTCTACCCCTGAAAGCAAGGACTTTGTATGCAGCAAAATAAAAAGAAAGATTAATGCCATCCCTGCAAATGACTTGAAAAAACATCAACAGGACCCTGAGATGACTCAGTTAAGAAATAAGAAATTTCTCCTAATAGACCCATAGATCCCTGAGAACCAAGAAATCTAAGACACACAATACTGTGTTAGCCTAAAGGTTGTAAAAAAGGTTTTTAACTAACAGTAAAAGGCATTGATAAAAGATTACAAACCATACCTTAAATATTTCTTTCAAAAATACCATCAAATCCTAAAGACTAGTGAATATTTAAAAGCCAGTTATATTTTGAACAATAAACATGGGAAATTAGGGATATAAAATTCTGCAGAACTGAACTAGAGTCCCATCTGAGAGGCATAATTAATTCTGTGCTTAGTTGCTTAACATGGTGAATCCTCTGCTAGACTATAAACCCCTTGGGAGCATGGATTTTGGGTTTCACGGTATCTGCTCCATTCTCAGTCTTCATGTCGGGCCTCGTCTGCAGCAGGTGTGCAGGAAATCAGTGTGTGGTCCCACTGGTGCAGGAACGAGCCTCCCCACCTGTACCCGGGACCCAGGAACAGTGCATGGCTTCCCTAGTCCCTGAAAACTGCTGTTCTTTTCCTTCCCTGATCCCCCAAGATTTAAGTAGGTATGCTAAAGTTTCACTAAAATAGGTTCCTCAACCCCAAAGATAAAATCCCCAATTCTAGATTGGACAGACAGGGTTTAATATATACTCAATCACTCACATATCTGAAAAAATAAATAAGGTTCAAAGCACCAAGGCCGGGCTTAAAGACATCATCCAAAGCAAAGCCCAGCTAGTAACTCAAAAGGCCAAGGAATTTTAAGTCGCTTGAAAGACACAGAAGGAAAATGAAAGCCATGAGGCAACGAACAACAGAGGTTTGGGAAATCAGTATGGACTAAAAGAATCAAGGTCAAAATAAATGTAAAGAGCATGTGTGAGTGGCCTAAATTGCCGGGAAAAAAAAAAAAGGAAAGAATATGAGATTAGCAAAGAAATTTTTCAGAGTTAGAAATCTTGTGGCTGGAGCTATTTTCAGCTTTGGGGGTTCAAGGAACGACCATGGCTGTCCCAAGTCAAAGTGGACTGCAGACAAGAATACAGGTTATTTTGAAATAGTTGGAGACCATGACGTTCAATTCCGGTATTTTCTCTATTTGTGTTTACATCTACTTGTTCCAAAGATGACCTACCTTTAGCTCGCACAAGAAAACAGCCTGAGGAGTCTAAAACCATTAAAAAATAAATGGTATGTTATCTCCAACTGAATTACCCATACTAAACCTCATTATTTGTGATTCTGATTTACAGTGTTCTCTATTAGTAGATAGCACTGTTAACTTTTTAAAAAGTATAAATGCCACAAAAGGATTAATTCTTATGAAAAAAAAATGATCTTATCCAAAAAACCAGCCTTCCGATCTTACTTATGTAGTTTACTCAGCAAATATTTGTAGAACGCATGACCAGCTTTCTATGTAACAGTAAGACACTCTACTCACATAAAAATTCCTATACTTTGTCCCACCAGCCCCTGCTGGATAACCCCAATGATTTTACCATCGTCTGTTATAAAATTAGAAAAATAATCATCTCAAAAATAGCAAGGCTTTCAATACTATGGCTATGGGACCAAATATAGGAAGGGTATAGAGTAAGGGATTTCTTAAAATAATAGAGAAGTTTTACCTTTTTTTGTACCATAGGAAATATTAAGTGTCTGCCAATTCTCTACTGTGTCAACTTCATTAATTTCAGAAATACTTTTCACTCTACATTTCATTCCCTGTTCATGAAAAAAAATTTCCTAGGCCCCAGTGGTCTACACATTCTGCTCTTTTATTTTCAGGCCTTAAAATTCAAGGAGCCTACATGAGTAATGAGATGAGGAGAAACAGTGCAGAAAGTTGTTGGGAAGCTTTTTGTTGGTGAATTTATTGTGCATATTTTGAAGTTGACCTTTTAATCCAAGTTTTTATTCAATTCCACTGCAAGGAATTGAGCAACACAGTTTGAATATTTGTATGCCAGTGGCACTGAAGAACGATTTTACGGGGAACAAGTCACAGATTAAATCACGAAGAAGCCAATATATTCTTTTTAAGGCTAAATGGGGGTGGGATAGATTTTTTTTTTTTTTAGTAAGAAAGTTTTCCAACAAAAAG